CGAAAGCGAGAAAATCCTGTGAACGCGGCCCAGAAAAAACAATCTCCGAGCTAACAGGTCACGCCAACCCGGGTTCAATATCCATCTATAGCCATAATCTTTTAGAAAAGCAACAAAATATGTCAAGCAAGTCGGCTGGGTTTTCAGTCGTACCACTACGACTGTCAAAGCTGCCAACGCCAGCGACGGTCCACGCACGAAAGCTTTGAGAGAAAATTATGTCAACAGTCTTGCACTTCCATCAGTACTTGGCAATAACACAACATCAATGAATAATGGCATTGATGATCTAGCAGCAAGAGTTCTAGGTGGATTGTTCACCAATGTATCGTTCAACAACTCTCCAGTGAATATATCCATCAACTTTAAAATTAATTTCAGTCGAATGCTCATCCCAACGAATCAGCCAATGGCATTCGCCTGTAGTGAATTTCTACAAATAAAAGGATTAAAGTTTTTGTACTTTCATGAAACACTTCTTTGTTTTTAAAGGGATAAAGTATCGATCAATACACGTATTTACACTTCAAGGCACTTTTATTAATCGCGATGTTATTGCACGTGAAATCAGTGCTTTCGCTTGCACACTTCATTTCTCTCAGTTTGCCACCAAAGAGGTAAAAGGTGTAAATTATTTTCCTTCTCGAGCAAATTATTTGGAATTTTGAAAAAATATGTTAACGATAAACGGCTTGTAAGCTCAGTGAAATACCACTATTATCCCTAAATAGTGTGAGGCTTGTTTAAAAAGTTCGAAAATTAATGTAAAATCATGCACGAGGTACAAATAAAATCATGGGTCGAAGGTTCAAACGTGTACGACTATAAACCTTGCTTTCTATTCGCTAACGTAATGGCACTTCTGACAGTTGGCTTTAAAATGGCTTTCTAGAGCGCGCGCTCGGGACAAAAACAAACGATAATATTGTCCATTTAATTTCTTGTTTTCTTATTTTCCTTCAGTTATGCGTTCAAGGAAAATTCATCACCTGACTCGTGAATTCCGCGTTAAATTGCACTTGAAAACCGATATCGCAC